GCTTTGACACTGATTTTCTAATGCCGCGATCAGAACGAGGTTTCCTCTTTGAAGGGTTTTGCAAAAATCTTGTCACTGTGACCACATGGCGATTTATTCTTTCAGCAATTGATTTGGTTGTTTTGCCCTTTGCAATTTCTTTTATATAGTGGCTTTCTCTGCTTCTGTAAAGTCTTTCCTACATCCTACAGACCACCTCTTTTATAGAAGAACCCCTGGATTTTGTAATCATGTGACTAATATGAAATGTAAACTTTGCAAACGATGTTTCCACTATAAACAAAAAACATTTCACATGTATTTATGTTTTACCCTCCTAATTCGAAGACACAATGCCCAAATCTCATACATAACTAATTTGTGGTTCGCACTGTATAATCATCTCCATGAAAATTTGGAAATCTTATGCTGTCCATATATAAACAAATAGGAACAGTGTTAGTGTTGCCATGGCAACCAAAACATTTAATCTTTTGCACTTTTATTGTCCAATTTTACAATCAAACGGCAGTATTTTTTTCCTTCAGTCATTTTTTCTGAATTTTTTTTAAAGATTTATGGTTGAAAGAGGAATGACATATTAAAATTTGAAGGGATGTTTCAAGGCAGGTTTTGAGATATTCATGAATAACGACTACAAAAAATCTGTCTTATAGAATTTTTTGAAATTTTGACATGTTTGAGTAATGGTCATGCTTGTGCACAGTTTAAGAAAATTTCACCAAAGGAAACGCGAGAAAAATAGTCCTAAAGTTAGGTAGTTGTTGATGTGACAAAATATCGATTCGACATAATTACTATTTGCGCATGCATGTAAATTATAATGTGTGAGGAACACAAAACGCGTACAGTTTATAGTTGGCTTTTTATTAATTTTCAATTTTTGAGTTTTTGGCTTATAATGTTTCACAGAGATATTTTTTTACTTATTTGAAATGAAAATAAAAGATATATGTTCAAAATACGATTGAGAATACAATAACGCATTGACTTGATCCAGCGTTTCTTAAATTTAGTTTTGTTGTGAAAATGGGTGTGAAAACTTTGACGTTTCGTATAAAACAACTCGTAACCATCTGCACTATACTGTAGTTATATCGGATTCAGTACATAAAACACTAAATGTGAAATGAGTTGAATGACAACTTCCCACAGCTTTTTTCAAGATTTTTACTGGGCCATGAAGATTCCACACGTGAGTCGCAAGGATGATGTCTGATCTATACAATGTTTTAAATTGGACTATAACTGTAGGGAGCCACCTTAATTGAAAAAAAATATTTGCCTCCCATGTTTTACTACAATAATTTAGTATGCAAACTAAATAAGCTACTTCGAAATTACCATTGCATCATGGGGTTGTTTTGGTGAACAAGAACAAAGGAATCATACCCCAAAACAGTCCCATAGTGCAATACACCAATAGTAAATCGCTATTTCCATGACTCAAACAAATTTTCGAAGTGCCTGGGTCAGTATTGCAAAGCAAATTTGTAGGTGTGTGGTTCAACGTCCAATTGTTTCAGAAGTTCCACATGTCCACTAACAATATACAATAATATTAATATTCAGTGCACAGATTTATTTTCCAATTAATAAAGATTAGGGTTTAAGCTTTTGAATGATACTTTTTTGTATCATTCCAAGCAACACTTCTTAAGCAACATGATTATCACAGGATTATTGAATGTTTATCTCAAAATCTGATTTGACCAGATTTAAGGCGTTTAGAGAAATTTTTGCAGAAATTTTCGCCAACATTTTTTTGTTTGAAAGCTATGAATATCGGAATCACTAATTACCTAATTAATCTGCCAGTTACTCAATATAGCAGAACAGTATTACTTTACTCCTTACTCTGGGTTAATGCATCCTGTTAACCCTTTAAGTGGCAAAGTATAAAACAGTCAATCATCTTTTTACAATAATTGTCACCAAGAACCAGATTAGATTTGTAAAAAGCAAAATAAATATGTAGGTGTGGTTGTCAAACTCTTGTGGGCATGAACCTCATGCAAATTCTTGATGCGCTGAGTGGCATCCTTGTAGGATGAATTGGGAACAGCAATGATGGTCCAGGCCAGGGACCTATGTTTGGAGTCAAGGGCAAAGACAAATATATTCATGTGTGAAATACTTGTATACTAGAAAATACATGCATGCAGAAACCCTTGCCTTACTGATAAATGTTAATATAATAGTTGTACTCATCCAGCATATACTGAGGATGCCATAATTATTCTGTCACTCCTGCAAATACAACTACTGTAAGAGAACTTATTTGTGCTTTCACACCAAACCCAAAACATTGTTGCATGTAATTTCATTAAGTGTATGGGATCTAATCCCTTATTTTAGTGCATTTAAAACAAACACCCCATTAGCAGCCAAGCTGTATTGATGTGATTCAATTGTGTTGAAATACACCCTTCCAGAAAGTACATCAATTTGGCTACAGAGCTTCATTTTCGTGTTTGTGACATTAGCTAACCCTTTAAGTGGCAATGCACCCTACTTTAGTATTTTACTCTGTCTAATGCCAGAGTGTTTTACTTGGCAGGGGGAGAGTGCTGCCACTTGATGGTGTCCAGGCATTGTAATCAATAATCTATTGTGATTGTAAACCGATTTAACTAAATAACTTATTGGGTTGTGTGAACCTAATCTAACCCCAACTCTAACCCTATCATAATCTATTATCATAGTCTAACTCTAATCTAATCTTAATCAGACACTTATCTAAACTTGATGACAATGTTTTATTTTATTGATAATTATATATTGCATAAGGTTCCATAAAGTAAGCATGCATTTCTTATATGTGTCTATTTTTAGAGTTGGAACTTATTAGAACATGCATCTCCATGGATATAAGTTTCAAATGTTGCCTTTTCTATTTTCAAGTGTAACTTGTGCTGTGTAATTTGTGCTTCTTTTACATTTTGAAGGAACTGCAGATTTTTTTGCAATCCAACATTTACTGAAGACCAGTCACTAATAGAAGAGACAGCTTGCAATAAAGATACTGGTGGTCTAAAAGCATTCCACAGTTGGTCAAGGGGGCTTTTCTTTATTGTGAGTGCTGGAGGTCATATTGAGTACTGGCAGCCACTTTATAGGTTTGTTTTAGTATCTTCTTTCACAAATTCAATATTTTTATATAAATTGCATACGAGTCATATGACCTACCACAGCATGCACATTTCATTATTGTACATTTTATGATTGGCATTGATTAATTATTATTAATTAATGTATCTGATTTAAAGCATTATGTCATGCATAAAAACAGAGACAAACGTCTGGCTGAAATGAGACATGGGTGTAATTTAATATTTTAAGTGGCAATGCACCCTGATGTGCCCTACTTTATTATTTTACTTTGTCAGATTTACTTTGATTTTACTCGTCAAGGGGAGAGTGCTGCCGCTCAATGGGTTAATCAGACTGTCTGCCCATGTATCCTGTTAATCCTTTACATTTGAATAATTCTATAAACTGGAATGTATCACTTACTAAGCGGATAACTAATGGTCACAAGTATAAGTTATACAATTCAACTTATTTGCCATGCTACAGTAAAAGTTTTTCATTTTAGGTTTATCAAATTTTAAGCTTAACTTTTTTAAGAGTTTTAAGTGTAATCTAAGAATTGGAATGTCTGTGTCAATTTAGGTCGGAGTCACCAGCACAAGCCTTTCTGGTGACAGTTTTGTGGCTATTCAAGAAATTTAAGAAGATGAAAGATTCGCATTCTGATGAGGATATTCGACAAGCAATGTCAACCGTTTGCCTGGCATATAACAATATGTGCCACCTGGATAACCTTAAAATTGCAAAATCAGATCTCCCATTTCCAAAACCTTTCAATGAAGCTTGGAAATTGATTAAGAAATCTATCGACAGACTCCACTTGAGAAACCATGTCAACCCAAAATGCGACTTTATAACCCAGACGAGAAGATACCATCCCATTTCAACACCATGCCATGTGAAGAGACCTTTATCTGGGCGAGCAGATTTAAGAAAGTGATGTGTGCAATGCCACATATACATCATTTTGTTTCCTGCACAGGCTTGTGAAGTACCGAAATAGATATACCGAGAAGTGCCATCATCTTAGAAACATGCATGATCTTACTTTGAGAAACATGCATGATCTTACTTTGTCACATGCATTCACAAATGTCGGCTAGCGAAATGCTAGGGGACAATAGTCAATAGCAAGGTGTGATTAACATAGTTTACTGCTGCATCTGGTGACTGTTCAAGAATGTGCAAGAATGTGCCGGAATAAAGAATAGTGTATTAAAATTTTTCCAAACAACACAACGGATATAAAAATAACCAAAAATGTTACGCATTCAATTCCCAACCTATTATTTAGTTAAATTGTTCAAAAATCATCGATTTCTATTTCTTTAACATATCTATTGCACATGAAAGTATTTTAGTGACACTGCAGGTATAGTCCAGGTTCACTGGGCCAGGTTGGTTGATAAGGCTAAGTTTTTAAGTTATACACTGCTTCATGTTATGAATACACTGTATATATATACATATACATGCAGCATGTTAACAGTATATATATTTCTCGATTCAAATGAAAATGACAAAACTGTCTTGAATTTACAAGTATTTAAAGACATGAGCGCAGTGTGTGTTTTTTTGACATTTCCGACTTTAGATATAGAAACCAAATATAACCCTTTGCACATATACCAACATGAATTTAAACACACAAAAACGACAACACAAACTTAGTCTTAAGGCCCTGTCACACTATTGCGTATTGTACTAGCGTATGCCAGCACATGAAAAATATTACTGATACGCTGGTATACGCTGGCATATGCAGGGGTACGTTAGGCACAGGTTGGATACGTTTAAAGAACGGTCGCGTACGGTGGCATACGCTGGCGTACGGCGAGGCAGAAAATTTTTTTGAAGCATGTTCAAAAATATGCTGGCATTTCAAAGGATTTTTGTGCATATGAAAATTATTTTATTAATTTTCATACATTTCTCATATGTTTCTCTCCATATGCAATAGTGTGACAGGGCCTTTTGAGTAACAAGGATGAAATATTTTTTACGTGTACTTACATTGATACGCTATCAATCCGATGAACCTCAGCGATGAACCCATTGTATTTGACATGGTCAATGCAAGGAAACTTGACAAATGCTTTCAAATCGAAGTAGAAATTGGATATGCATCGATAGCGATCTTTTCCTACTTTCGTGTGAAGTGCACAGGCTCCACTTGCATCTTCCCTAATGGAGAGTCCTTTAATAGGAGAACAATGCCAAGGCAAAGAGCAACATGACAATGGTCATATGAAGCGTTAAAGATCTTTAAAGCCACATGTAAACTGACCACGTGTTGAGTAATATTGGATATGATTGGTTAACTTGGTTTTAAAATGACTGAATCATTGTTTGGTTTGTTACTGTAAATTTGCACTGTGAAAGGCATTGTTTCTTTTCAAACGTTTTGCGACCGAGTCTTTGTTTTGAAGTGTCACATAAGGCATGCTGGCACAGACATATATATCACTGATATACGATTATTTTATACCCAAGGCACGAAAGCACGCTGGCACAGACATATATCATTACCAGAAATATGGGACAAGATGGCGACGGACATGCCCACTTTGACCAAATATGGCGACCAAATATTACTATAAACTATATGGGAGTTGATCAAAATATCAAATTTTAATATACTTTGTTTAAATATTTCATGGTTGCCGAGCTCTACTATAGTAGCAACACGAACAAGCAATATTTCTAAACAAAAAGCGCTAGTGTTGCACACGTCTAGCAGGTTCCTGAGAATGTTGTATTTTTACTCGCAATTCGATGAATTTCATAGTGTAATTTATAGTAAACTTGTGACACAAGAGGTAAATATCCGACGAATAGAGCAACATCCATTCGGGCGATGCAAAGTGCCGAGCTTGCGATATATTTAATGATGTCCAAACTGTTAATTTAGCTAAATAAATCGCTGTAATTTCCAGGGAAACTAGTTCACGAAACGTTTAAAAGTTCGCCTTTTAACAGTTTTTGTATGCCGCAATTAGGTCATCTTGATATCCAAAAACGACAAGTTTTAATGCAAATTTGAGCTGTTTCGAGCACCCATGTTTCTTGTTTATTTTGAAAGACTAGATCCAGGCTCTCTCACATAAAAACACAGCAATATTTGCGATGTTTTTAGTCTTGATAAAAATTTGCGGGGTTAAAGGTCAAAATACCGGAAGTGCTCAGCAAGAACTGCAAAATATAGTTTAAAATCACAGTTTTTGGTTGAATAATACTTGAATTGGAGATTCGAAATAAAATGCGAAGTCGTTTTACTTATGTTAAGCAATGTTAGGCATATAAAACGGACTTAGCCACTGACTACAAAAGCGGGAGCAAAATGTCCCATATTTCTGGTAATGTATCACTGATATATGACTATTTTATACCCTTCTATACCCAAGGCACAAAAGCACGCTGGCACAGACATATAAATAACTGATACGTGATTATTTTATACCCAAGGCACGAAAGCACGCTGGTACAGACATATATATCACTGATATATGATTATTTTATACCCAAGGCATGAAAGCACGTTGGCACAGACATATATATCACTGATATAATGATGTGCCTTGGGTATAAAATACACAACCATATAGGTACGTCATTGACAAATTCGTCTATACGACTATAGTCATAGAGACCATAGACTATTTTCCAGAGTATGTAGTGCAATATGCTAACAAAGCTATATATATATATATCACTTGTAATGACTATACAAAACTTGCATACTACGCCATAGGAAATTTTGTTTGCAATATTTTTGCTTTGACAATAAACTTGAATTAAACCAGTGGCAATAAGGCACGATAGCACAAGTGCCTTTTGTTTTTTGTTTAAACCTTTTGTGTAATACAGGCATGGTATACAACATTATAGTGATTTATGAACTTTGAGAGGTCAAGCAATATCATATATTTCACTATAGTACTCAATATTCTTGAACAATGTAAACTAGCCATACAGGTCACACAGTATTAACTTTCGCCCAACATAACTTCGAGCCCTTCAGACATATCTTTTTTGTAATAGTCTTGTTCGAATCAGCATCCAAAACACTATTCACAGAGTGCTATTTCAAGGACGTTTCTGAATGTAAGGCCATTGCTCACTCATGGGCGTTTCATGGGCGGAAAGCACCAACAAGCTGCCGCAAGAGAACTGCTGCAATAGCAGAAATTTATTAGTAATTAGTATTACAAAATAGCTAGCCTGCCGCAGATCTTTTTCGAGGCTAGAATGGCCTACTTTCCAGTGTGGCTCAGTTGTTAACGTTAGAAGAATGCGGCTGTTAGCAATATGAGACAAAGTTTCCGAGCTGTTTTTGATTATTTCATTTCTTGCGTAATCAAAACACAGCCACAGTATCAGAGGGTATCCGACGTCATAGATGCACGTCCTGTGATTGGCTGGATCCCCTCCAAGGTATCCAAATACCTCATTAATTTACTATTTTTAGTAACATTTGAACTGCGGACCGTATCAGAACACCGCAAACGCATTTTTCAGACATTCATTTTTTTTGGGTTATGCCTTCGGAAAGCTTTCAGCTCATCTTTGTCAAAAATAATTCAAGGCTTTGAAAATGCTGCTAAAGTTACGTTTAGAGCTGTAAATTGTAAACTTTACAAAAGAATTTGCCCTCGTTAATCTCAGTAAACTAAAATTTTCATTATTTTTTTGTACACAGAAATGAATTGTGTGAAAATATGTTATAATATTAATGGTGCATATTTCAATAAAACTATTTTACTATCCATAATTGGAAAAATCTGACCGTATCTTGAGCTACGCTTGATACCCCCTGGATCCGCCCCTGTTAAGTATATATATATATATATAGACATTCTTGGTAAGAATATAAGCAAGAACTTTTGCTGGTTTAAAAAAATAATTATTCTTGCTTAGAAAATTTTTACTTATTTTAAGTAAAATTTATTCTTGATAAGAATATTTTCTCTCGTTTTTGTTATTTTAAGCAAAATATTGCTTAAAATAAGAATTTTGCAAGAATTTTTTTCTAGGTAAGAATTCTCAATTTTGCTGTGTAATAATCACCTTAATTGTATAAACAACATCTGTGGTAATTTTTTTAGATGATTTTCCTTGCTTTGATGGAAAAATTTGAGCAATGTTTTCCATCACATGAATTATCTTTGCATCTAAAAGTTTAACAGTACTAGTATTAGATAAACCAGATTCACACCAGTGTGCAGCAAATTGGCATGGACACTACCCACTAGACAATAAAGTTGAGCATTGAACTGAAATAACAAAAACTAGTTCTCACACACTGCTGGGAGCTACTGCAACATCAGCTGCAGCAAGATTGGGCAGGCTTTAAAGATATACGACATGAAATTTATTATTTTCTTAAATGAAAGAACTCTTTAAGCTGTAGTGTAACTTATTTCTCAGTTTCTTGTTTTTATGGTTTGTTCCCGAGATATTTCAATTTGTTTGATATGTAAATGAATGTGAATATGTCCGCTAATTTATGATGTCACGTTAGTTGCAAGCTCCTCGAAATGGTTGAATATCACTGCTATCATCCAGGATAATTTCAAACTTCACTCACTGCTAAATGTGATGAAACACTGGAGAAAAACGTGAACTGATATCAACAGTTTTTAGAGTTAATACATTTATAGCCAGTGTATGTTGAGCCTTGCAACCAACGTGACATCATAAATTAGAGGACATATTCACACTCATTTACATATCAAACAAATTGAAATATCTCTGGAACAAACCATAAAAACAAGAAAATGAAAAATAAGTTACACTACAGCTTAAAGAGTTCTTTCATTTAAGAAAACAAGAAATTTCATGTCATATGCACTTTAAGCGGGCATCCACTAAGATATGCGAGGTTTTCTGCAGGCTGTACTTGGAGTTGGAGTTACTCGCATTCATTTTTGCCCATCAGTGCAGCCAAGCCACTAGGTTAAAATTATGATTTTCTCGCAATATGTTGTTGGTCTGAAATAGTCACAGTGTGTCAGTGCCATATCAATTATTAAAATTAATAATACAACCATTTAATACTAGTTACAACTGACAGAGGAGAAGATATGATTTGCCAAATTTTGGACCTTAAAAGCAACGTTTTTGCCCCTCCTTCAGGAAAGAGTTCCTTTAAACTTTTGTGGCACATTTGTGATATATCTTCGTCAATGCAAATTTCAGCATCTGTGAAATATTGAGAAGAACTGAATCCCAACTGAATCTATTTAATAGCATTTATGGATAAATATTCCCCGAGCCGACGGCGTGAAGCGCCATGCGAGGGTACTAATTCCCCCTGGCTATTTACACCCGAAAAAAGGAAAGCAGTAGCGAAGTCTAAAGATCATCAATTATCGCGGGTGCGTGACTATGGTTCATGGGTGGACCTCCTGACTAATCTCAAAAATATGGCTGTTTGCTAGGAGTGGGATAAGCAAGATTTCAATTTTCAAAAGCATATATTTGGAAAATCACGTTTCACACAATGAGCTTTGAAGCAATTTTTGTTTGAAGAAATGAGAAGAATTGATTTACTATCGGAATCATGAAATATAGTGCAAGTTTGCTTTGAATTATTAATGTTTATGAATTTTGTTGCTTCTAATAATTTATTGCGTATTAAAAGTACATGCAGCTTTCCCTTTCAGTCAAACTGTAAGTTTCCTACCTTAAATTACCCTGTTTAATTCAAGAAAAAAAGGTAAAATGTAAAGAAGAACAAATTAATTTGAAGACCTAACTGAAATTACTCCACAACTTGAACTTATTAAGTATTAAAAACAGTTCATCGGCAAAGACGACAAAAGCAGTTTAGTTATTACAATGTGTTAACTTATGTGCTCAAATATTCTGTCATATTAATTAAACTATAATATCATTTGTATATCCAATTGAACTAATGAGATAAAACAATTATGAATTGCATAACTGGATAAAACCACTTGAACTGCATTCCATGGATTCAAATCAGTCAATTCATTGATGTAATAGTTAAACCTTATATAGTAAGGAATTCGACTCAATTTTATGTAATCTTTTATATATATGTACATGTTCTCATTGTAAAGAATCAGATTGATACAAAACTCTGATGTTGTTAGTTGTACTTAATCTGGGAGGAGAAAGATATGGCCTCCTCAAACTCAACACAATGAACATTTCAAAACATTTTACGAAGCGATTCAGTTTAAATTTTACATTAAATCAAAGCTCACAAAATGAAAAATAACATACCTACCGTACATAATTTGGAAATTGATCGTTATATAATTAAAAGCAATAATCTTTCAACTATTTTTGGCGACTTGTTCAAAAAAATATAAAATTTAAGATTGTCATGTTGCCATGGCAACACTGACGTAAACGCGAGCCTGCATTCAGTGTTGATCAATTACTAATACAGTACTTCATGTAAGTCAATGTTTAGAAAATATAGGCGAGGGCTTGCTGCATGCATGTATTTCTAGTATTATATCATGAGCAATCATGATGATTTTAATATTTAAGATACAATTTTTCTGTGCTGGTGTTGTGTGTACTCAGGTGATTATGATGTTTGTGATGTTACTCTGAGTGTATATCCACACCGGGCGAGCTTGAAAAATATGCCCGGCCATGGTGGGAATCGAACCTACAACCTTTGGAATACTAGCCCAATGCTCTGCCAACTGAGCTACACGGTCAGGACAGTTACTCGAACCGTATTATATTACTATATTACATTGGTATCGAAGGAACTAGATTCTGTTCCAAAATATCACTTACTCGACCCATCTTGACCGTGTAGCTCAGTTGGCAGAGCATTGGGCTAGTATTCCAAAGGTCGTAGGTTCGATTCCCACCGTGGCTGGGCATATTTTTCAAGCTCGCCCGGTGTGGATATACACTCAGAGTAACATCACAAACATCATTTAAGATACAGCAAAGCTTCTGCTTGCTCAACTTCAGACGGAAATTATACGGAATAAACTCACAAGAAAAGGACAATTTCTTACCTTTGAATACTTTTGCTGCTTGTTGTCCAGTGATTCAACGAATATTCGCAAGCAAGGAAGTCATTTTGGCAATAAAATATCAACAAACAGTTAGGATTTCCTTGGATTTCCCTCCAATGACCATGAGGGAAAACAAAAAATCCCACAGTGTGTTGCACTCTCATTTCTGAATGACACTCATTTTCCTCATCCCCAGAGGAGGTTGGACAGCAGGCTGCAAAGCATCATGGGTATTGAGTGCCAAATTCCATGTGTGGTTTCATTGACTGTTGACTGTCGAGGAGTGAACATCTCTCTGACTATAAAACCAATATCGAAGCTTTGGAACGACAGGAGTGTCAGGCTGCGATACTTTGTGAAAACAGCATGGTATTGCTGCATTGTTGCGATCATCATTATGACTTGTGTTTTACTATACCAACTTTGCCTTTTTTAAATTTGCATGCGATGTGCTGTCTTTTAGCTTTTAATATAAATATTTTGTCTGAGAAAAGGAATATTTGTGTTTATATTCCCAATACTCAATAGCGAGTCTCTTCTTTATCTCATTGTTGTTTAGGTAAATTTCTGCTTTGTTGTTTTTATTCTTGTACTGTAATTTTATAAATACACTGTACAAAATTATGGTGTAATATTTGTGTTTAATGCCACTAGTTTGACCCTATTGTGTGTGTCCATGTACTGTGTCACTGTGATACATATGTACATGTTTTGAGTTAAACAAATTTTTTAATAGATTTTTGCTGAAGTATGATGCCTGTTTGTATCTTGTTGTGGATAGATTTTTACATATATGTGTATACAGTAGTTAGATATTTTTCAATTATCATCTGTAAAATATTGCCATATTTGTGTGTTGTTCTAATATTACTGTAAATAGTAACACACTTTTGCATTAGATTGCTAATTTTAGAGATTACAGTGTATGTATAAAATAATAAAATAAACATTTTATTGTTATGATTTTGTAGAAAGAGATCTACTTTCAAGAGTGGTTGGATGGTCTTGAACCTGGTCAGGATGGATATGGTAATGAAGGTGATAGGGCAGAAAGTGGTGATGACGAAATCACCCATGCTGTACTATTCAAGTGCATTGGTGCTGCTCATGATTTTGATTAGCATTTGGGCCCGAGTTAGGGCAATTTGAACCAAAATGACTTTTATTTTAATAGTGTTTATTGCCATTTATTGCCAAAAGGTGGGGTATTTGACCAATATTTATTGCCCGACAGTGGGGCATTTGATTGGAAATTTGCTAAAAAAATAAATGCCCCACATATGCCCGACCCCCATCTCTGGGGCTTAACATAGAAAGAACCACCATTTCTCAAACTTTATCTGAATTAGTTGTGTAACAGCATTACAAAATACTGTTAAAAAAAGACCAAGTGGGCCTTCACTGCTATAAAGGGCATTCTATCGAATGGCATTCTAGGACCAACATCTCCATGGCGTTTTCCAAAGCATCGAGCAGCGTGATAAATCAGATTGTGTTTTTGACTGGCATATTATTCGGCAAAATCAACTAAATAAAAATTAAAAATTGAAGTACCAGTACAGACATAGCCTTGGCAACAAGTGGGAGAAAATTTTGAGGGACTAATTTAGCATAGATGAAACCAGGGTTTACTTTTACCATCCATTTTTGAAACAGGTGGATGAGTAGTTCTCGTTGTCGCTGGATAAGTTTTGAAAATCCAGAAGTCATCATATCAATAACATTACCAGGGAGGTGAACAAGGTCTTGGTCACTTGACGGAGGCAATGCAGTTGTAAAAGGTCTGTAGAGAGTGGAAGGACCGATATAAACCTCCAAATTTAATAATGATGCTTAATTCTTGCGGACAAAATCATTGACAAAAATAGAATTCAGCCAAAATTACGAATCTCAAATCTAAAACATCAGCCAAACAATGAATTTCACTTACATATTGTTACAGAAGTGCTTTAATTATTTACATACTTTAACTGCAATATATACAATCCATTATATCATCATTCAATATCATGTGAATGCCCTAACCTACCCAAGATAACCTACCCAAATACAGGGTCAATATGAATTAATCAACCTCATTAAATGTATTCATGAGGTTTATTAATAAATATCAACCTCTCACAGTGGTCGGTTGCTATGCATTTTGCTCCCGGAAGCACAGGCGCGATTAGCACAGCAGTTATTACCATTTCCCTCCAAAATTTCGAACAACATGGTGGAACCAAAGCAGTGATTTTGCTGAATGCTTTTCGAATCTTAAACTTGGCTCTTCTAGCGACGACACCAAAAGGTCGAAACGGTTTTGGAATGCTTCAACAGTGGAGTTGAAGTTTGGTGTTGAGCGAAAATGGCTGGACACTGAATGGAAATGCCAGAGCAAACTGAATATGGCAATGCGCAATCTCGATCTGATTTTAGAAGAGCAAGCTTCCTATAAATTGGAAATTGTTGGGCCGCTCATCGACTCCTACCTTACCTAAATTGGCAGGACAATGTTTGCGAAACTCGGAATGTCGAGGAATACTGGTCTCATGCCACTAGTCAAGCTTCTTATTCCGTATCCTATATTTCGGCATGTCTGCAATATTGTTGTTGGATACAGCAGCTAGATGTCCACCAAGGAAGGCTGTATGTCTCTGGAGATTTCTAAAATGGATACTGCCGCGAAGGTCTTCTCTCCGGTTCGATGTCAAGACAACAATTTATTAATGAAACGGCACTTTGACAAAATCAGGGAAAATGGAAGGAACATTTTTAAATATTCAGGAAGGGCAGCTGTTGTTGTGACCTCAACGACTTAAAGAAGGAAAAAGTGACCATATTATTTTATGTACAAAGGTATGACAAGAGCGATTTCTCCTTTGATGCACCCTTCAAGCTCTTTTAAACAGAAATCATATAGAATAGATTTTCACACATGCACCTACCAATTTTAAACCCCGATGTCATAAGTGGTACCCCAAATTGAGTGTATAAGCAAGTCTGTTCATATTAGCCCGGCTCTTCTGTGCTAGCCTGGCTGGCCCTGCTTACCGAGCTGTTTTTATTTGTTTCATATTAAACAGGCTAGCCTGGTAACTGGCTTGCTCAAGCAAGATCCTGGGAAAGGCCGTCCAAGCCCGGCTTCCATATGAACAAAATTTCTAAAATGTATGAAAACACTGGCAGGATCTCTGCACTCATGCCCTTGCCGGCTAACTGGGCAAGCCTGGCAGACAAAGATGGACTCATATGATCAGACCCTCATTATAAAACCACTGGTGTTTCATAAGGTATTTGAATTGCTTACTGTACATGTTCTGACTGTCAAAAAAGTGCACAACAATGGCAATTTTAATTACTTTAACAGTACAAACCCATCTGTAGTTTGAAGTTGATAGGTGCATGGGGATAGTAATTCCATGCTGTTATGACTTCTGTACTTTCTAATTAGCCTTTTTGCCCTTGTTTATGTTCTAGTTATTTAATAGAACTATTGTATCTATTGAAATATTATGCCAAAAAGGTTAATTAAAATGCATGCAATGCATATGGTCATGAATCATGAATCAGTAATAATTATTCCTGCTTCAGTTTGAAGTTTTTCCCGGTATTTCCCTTTTCCTTCCATTCTCCTTGATTTGTTTGAATCTATATTAATTCAAAATTTTTCCCTTCCGGCCAATAAAATCACTTGGTATCAGACAGTAAAAGAGTAAAATGTAAATATGTGTGAACAATTGCAATATATTTCTAACCATGAAATTACAGTCGTGCCAATAGAAGCATTCTGAAAAATGTTGATCAATTTATTTCCTAACTTTGAGGAATTCCTCTGAACAATTCCTCAACAATTTGATAAATTCCTTAAAAAGTTCCTAACTTCCTGTTTCATTGACCATTCAGATTGCTCAAAAATAACATAAAATCTGATTGGCACAACTGTAAAACCTACAAAAAGCTACTGGTGTTTGCCGAATATATAATCAAACAAAAAACACACTTTTAATATATATTCAATGAATCTGTATTAAATGCAGATATATAACTCTAGCATGAGATATAGAAAGTACAATATTTACAGTAGTAAGTAACTATGATTTATGTCTTTATTCATAGTCTTGGATATACTGTATACAGATACATTAAAACTATAATTATTATTAAAACTATATACAAACTATTTAGACAATAAAATAATATAATTTTATATTTTTTTGTAGATAATATATAAGCAATACATATTACTTCATTTAAGAACACACATAAAAATTATTTCTGCATAGCTTTCGATCTGTGTGCCCAGATCTTCATCAGTGCAAATAATCCGGGCATACAGATCGAAAGCTATGCAGAAATAATTTTTATGTGGTGTTACCTACAAAAGAAATTTTATATATTCTGTTACTGCCATGCAAACATTCAAAGAACTTAATATATAAGCAATATAGAGAGTGTAGATAATATATACATGTAAGCAATATAGAAAATATTCTAGCTAATATATTTTGTCTATAGTACATATAAATATTGTCATTTCCATTCAATTAAAACAATGCTGTTAGACACTAAGAGAAATAACAAAGTGAAATTCTTGAACCCAGACAAGGCCGGCAAGAGAGAGAAATGGGGTGGGGGCAATGTCCATGCCCTGGAGTGCCAAAGCGGACAAGGGTAATTGCGTAATTGCCAAAGTGCATAATTACCAAAGTGCATGTGTGTGGGGGCGGGATCATGATTCAGCTGTACTGCAGCCCGTGATTGCTCTTGCTGGCCTTTAGCCACTTTAATACTTCAACAATGTTATGCTATCAATTTTGTAAGTTTTGCTCTTGCACTGCAAAGGGTTTCCTGTCATAACACTTGTCACAGTAATATTAGTACAGTGCTAATTATTATTTAGCCTGTTACATGCAAGAGCAAAATAACTCAAATGTGATATCACCACTCTTAATGTTTGATTGACTGTCAATTTGCATGAACAATATAACCTACTTAGGCTAACTATTGGAGGAATGTTGATTCCCCACAATCAACTCAATAATTGAGCTTATAATGAGAAGCTTAAGGTGAAGATTTTGATTAGTATTAAAATTATGATAAAATCAACATTTCGGTATTTTACGGCGATATATCATATCAGTGCAAGTGAGCTGATATTGTGTTGTGACTGAATTGGAATTTTTATTTTCATTATTTGGAACAACCAAAATACCAACATAAATTACAAATTAAGTACCTGGCGACCAGTTTTTCAACAACAAAACCTCCTAAAATAGCTACAATATAATGTCAAAACCTGTTTATATTGTAGATAGGAAGAGATATGGGCAGGTAGGAAAGTTAAAATTGGTTTTCTCCATTGATTAATTTGACAAGTAAAATTATCTGGTGTTAAACAGAGGGGGTCATTGTGTTTTAGACTTCATGGATTACTGTTTTAAAGTCCTAATGCAGCAGTTTTCACTTCAAATTTGGCAGTGCACTCTCCAATCTTCTGACTAAGACAGCCTTATTACCAGATGTGGATAAGTTTTTCTTTTTCAGAGCAGCTTTTTCAGTTCAGCTACACTCATACTTTTCAACCGAGTCTCTGTATGCAAGTGAGAAGGTCCTGTATTTTCAATCGGGCCGAGTCGGTGGGTATGATCAGTGTGTGCTTTTAAATTGGTTACATCAGCAAAGCGTTGATTGCATTCATTGCAAGTTATAGGCTTCAATAAGACAATAACTTGCTCAGATAATTTCTTCTCTGTGGCACATTCAATGATATATTTAGCAGCTTTGCAAACTGCACACTGCTCGTCTACAATATCATTACTTCTTCCACAGCCGCAATAACCAATGATGCTGCAATGCGATGGTGTACGAGACTTGAAATGAGAAACATAGGAGGGGGGAGCAGGTTGATGTTCAGAAAGATAGAATGACCTAATGTAATTAGACTGCATGACTTGCCACCACTTACCACTAGTGCTGCTTTGGTTTGATCATTTTGTTAACAAAAGGTCACCCTTGATGCCAGCATGCTTCAGTTCCTTTGCCTGAAGTAATAAAATGCCATAACCAATATTGTATTCTTCATACAATTTGCAGGCATGAAAAGATATGGCATACCCCACTGTCCATACTGTAACTGTCCATACTGTAATCCACGGCGATCATTCATCAAGAGACTATTGAATAATTTCTGTGAGGTAAATGTAGTGTTGTAAATTGTTTCATGTTTTTGTGTCGCACTTTTTATGGAAATGTCAAATTTGTATTCTGTATTATCAGAAACTGAATTGTCTACAAATATACAATAACACATTACACATATATAACACACTGACGCGTGTTGTTCAGGATGGAATATTGGAATGATTCGAATTTCGAAATGTTGAAATGCACTACAACTGAATAACAGAATAAGGAATAATTTATAAAGGAATCATTTATAAATTATAAATATAATCATGACAGCAGTCAGCGTCTCAGTGTGCCAAATTGCCAACTTCGGTAAATAACTGAATTTGAGAGGGCCGAAATCATCCATCTATGATACAGATATATCATACAGCCCGAATATTTATCCGCGATCGGAGTCCGATTGATGCGATGGACAAACATGTCTACCGTCGGAGAATAGTTTGTCTGATGCGGGACAAATATACGTAGACAAATATATTATAGCATAACGTGATATTAATCCCCGAGCCGGCGGCGCGAAGCACCGTGCGAGGGTGCTAATTCCCCCCGGCTATTTACACCCGGGGAAACGAAAGCATATGAAAATAAAAATTTAAGAATATCGTGTTGTCATGGCAACACTTGAGCGCGAGCCTGCGTTCAGTGCTGGTCATTTTTGAATACTTCATGTTTAATGTATGGCAATATTGGCGAGGGGTTACTGCATGCATGTATTTCTAGTTTATTTTTATAAGGACTATTACAACAGTCAGGCATGACATATAGGTTGGACCGTTCTATTTTCGAAATGTTTTTTTGTGTGCATGTACAAAACTTTTACCGTTGGTGAAATGACGTCATTTGAATGCCAGGGTTGCAAAGTAAAGAGCCTGGGCAGGAGGCTATGCCACAATGTAAGTGGCAAATGTCAAATGGTCCGAACGATCGATCGGATCCATCGGATAAGCACGTTTACGGTTGGACAAAAATTTTACCAATGGTGAAATGATGTCATTTGAACGCCAGGGTTGCAAGGAAAGAGCCTGAGCATGAGGCTATGCCACGATCGATCGGATCCATCGGACAAGCTGTTTACGGTCGGACAAAGATTTTACCGATGGTGAAATGACGTTATTTTCAAATCTAGGTTGCCGAAAGTAAAGAGCCTGGGCAGGAGGCTATGCCACAATTGAAGTGGCAAATGTCAGATGGTCCGATCGATCGATCGGATCCATCATACAAGCGTGTTTACAGTCGGACAAAAATTTTAACGATGGTGAAATTACATCATTTGAACGCTAGGGTTGCAAACTAAAGTATAAAGAGCCTGGGCTGCGGCTGGGCACGAGGCTATGCCAAATGTAAGTGGCAAATGTCAGATGGTTCGATCAATGTATTTAAAAATGCTAAACATTGTGTCCTGAATACATTAGATTTTAAACCCGCGCCTCATTGGATAGCATATCTCAGACCCTATAGATTTGAGTTGTTGGAAGGTTAGACTAATCGGCGAAACAAGTTAGTGACGGAGTTGTGGTATTCACATAAATATCCAAGGAAGTACTTAACTGAAGATTCTATAAGAATATATCTACAGTATAATGTAACGCTGTGCAAATGTGTTCACAAAATGCACGAAATGCAGTCCTAGGGGTGGAAAAACACAAACATTTTCTGGGGGAAAATCCCCCAGACCCCCCTAACTATTACATACAATAGTGTGGTCCTTCTTTCTAGATTGCTATCTTCCCACAGACAAATTCTTAAAAAAGGCTCTGGCAAGCAACGAATGTTGGTGAGCGTTCCGTATGGTGGTGCATGTGAATGTGATCATTCTTAAAAAATTTAAATTTCGTAAGCAAATAAACTATCATAGAACATGAACAGCTGTAATAAACAATTTTACTTTGTCACGTTTGGCGATAACTGAAAACTATAAATTATATTTAAAACTGCACGTGCTAATTCAGACACCAGACGCGCAGATTTGAAAACTAGACGCGCAAAAATCCGGAACATTTTTATCTCGTTTGCGCAATTTCCAAACTTTCCAGTCCACAGACGCAGTGTAAACTAAATCTAAGAGATGCTGCCAGGCATTAATTTCACAATGCAGTGGATCTGGTCGAACTCTGTCTGCAAAAATACCAATCCTTGGTAGACCAAGTTGGTGAATCCTGTTCTCAGTCATAAAAGAGAGCAGTTTCTCATGACGAGTACTGTTTGCAAGGGTGGTAGGTAATGTGCTAAGATACTTATTCACCCCTTTGACATGCTCGGTGCACACATCATTTGAATAAGATGTCCAAGTGTCATTCATACTTGGACCAATGTTCCTCCCAGAATGCACATGTTGTTTTTGTGCACATTTGCATGAGGAGAGAGGTGTGTTGCAGCCTGGTTTACTTTGTTGCAGGCCCTACCCTGCCAGCTCATATCAGCACTTGGCTGAAACTCCACAGTGCATTCCCTCCCACACACTGTGAACACACTCGACTCAAGAAGCTGCATCTCATCAGCATGTTGCTTCCATAGAAGCTCAAACATTTCATGCTTTTCATCAAGACTAACACAATGAAGCAAATATTGAAACTCTCTACTTCTGACCCTTACTCCAAAATTCCACAATGTTACACTACCATTGACATTGTAAGCTGGCTTGTTTCAGGAGCACCGTCATCAGAAAACTGAAAAATGAAGTGGTTTGTATTTTGATTGAACCAAATAAGTTGGCAAAACAAATGTGGCAATCGTAAATGCAAATCGATAATCATGAAAACAAGGCCAGTGATGGTCCTAGTGACCCCAGGTACATTTGGAATCTGACTTACACTACCTATATCTAACGATTTTACAAATTTATCGATTTTTTCTTCTGACACTAGACTAAGCGACAACTCTACATCTACACCCAAGCATTTCATATTCTGTGGTAACCACACTTCGGCATCAGGATCAAACACAGAGGACTGTGTTTTACATTTTAAATTAAATTTGCGATGCGACAAAAAATTCTGGTACTTCAAGGCAAGTGCTTGGGTTAGGGAGGCCTTGGAGTTGTTGTGGTCTTACAGAGCTTGGTTAATAACACCTTGCAAATATTTTCCCCTTCGGCACTTACCAAGCAAGGTGTCCAAAAGTTCTTTGCTTGCACTTGATGTTGCATAATCCCAAGCACTGCTGCATCCTCTCCACCATGGATATAATCCAAGACATTCTTGGTCTCTGCTTTTCACCTGAAACGAATGCTGCAAGTACCAGAGTTTGCAGTGCCTTGTCATGCAAATAGCTTGCTCACAAGGAACGTTTGGAATTTTTACGAACATTATTTTTAGTTTTTAATTCTTTTAGGAAATAGACTTGCCTATTTTTAATCTTTATGGCCCAAATATTATTTACATTGGAGTTGCATCATAAATTGTACTCGGATTCAAACGACACAATATCAATGACTATATAAAATTAAAAGCATAACGTGTATTGGCCTATTGGGTTTACACTTTTACAGGTTTATTTAACTTTAATTGACTCGCTCAAGTCTCAACAGACAATCAGACATGCAAATCCATTGATATGACAACTTCAAAAAACTTTTTTTCGAAGTTAGAATCATGATTTTTTTCAAATTTTCCCAGGGATACTTTGTTTTCTGCTCTCTAGACTCCCCCTCGCGGCTCTAGTGCTCCACACCTAGAATATAGACCTTACTGGGGTTTGGTGACACTTTGTGTTGCTTCAGTCACCTGCTCACAGCTCACCCCCCCTAAAATTTCTGACACCACCCCAGTAAAATATACAAAGTGGTTTTTGTGTTTCGCCTTAGAGTGCGAGCATACTGTTTTTGGTCAACCAAGGTTCTTAGTTTGTTATACTCCTGCAATATATTCTGAAGATGCTGTTCAATTTCAACAACCTCCCTATCGACATCTCCCCATTTTTCAAAGGATGCATTCGACTCATGGTCTAGATGGAAATATGCATGAAACTAATTAGGGGAGCCTACTTCCTATTTACATGTAATACTCATTAAGCTTTTCACATTCATAATTTGAATTTACCAATATTCCACTTGCGTGCAAATAGTCTATTCAACCGGATTTAATGATGAAATTATTTCCAGGTGGGAATGAATCTACTGATTTAGATTTGCTGACAGGCAAATTAATCCCAAGAGAGGGTTTCTATTGCAGGCATAGTTTTCAATCACTCATGTGAATCTTCCTGCCAGGAAAACATTTACTTTAACATAAACAAGGCAACTCATCAATATAATATAAAATTTAAATGCCAATTCAGTCTTGATAGAACATGTCATATGAACAAAAATAGTTACAAATTTTCTGGGTTGAAAACCTATTTAGTATTTATGTACTAGATAAAACATGAGCAGCCGATCTGTATCATGCGAATGTTTTATCTAGTACTTAAAAAATGACCCATCTTATGAGTTCATTGGCGAAGTAATTTTAAAAATAAACATTGTCTATAAAGCCAAGAAAATCAAAGCTAAAGTTTATGTAAATCAGGACAAATCTTTATCCGATTTACAAACATTGATTATACATTCATTTCTTTTGAATTTTTCTCGTGAATTATTAATGAATTTTTTAAATATAAATAGTTTTGTTTTAGTAAAATGTTCATTGTGTTTATTTCAATCTAGAACAGTACAAAGATACTCGCAAGGATCAATAACAAACACCAAGCACGCAATTACAAGTTCAACATGTATTGGTATTTGTTGGCATGAAAAAAAAAACAGATAACAAAATTTTATAATGCTTACTGGCAGCATCGACCTTTACTTGCACGGTTTTCTCATATAAATCCAACTGTTCATGTTTCTTAGCAATATTTTCCTCAGATACCTTGACTTCTGTTTGTATATTATCCACTTTGTGTGACTTTCGTGACAATTTGCCTTGGCCTTCTTTGAGTTGAAAGAATGGAGAATCTTTCCAAAATTGTAGTGATAATCCTCTATTCTTGTTGCAGTGTCCAGGATGCCCTTTATTTCGGTCACAAACCAGGCTTTTAGAGCAATATTCTATCGAGCTAAAAGACAGCACAGCATGAGGTGAACAACAATATGGCTGGTCACGAATGCTAATATAAAATGCAAATTAATGCCAAAGGATATTTTCTCCTCACCTCTCTCCGGTACAGCTATCCATTCAGATTTGTTGAGTAGATGATATTCTTCAACTTTGACTTGAGAAGTTTGTCCGAAATTATGTTTTAACAAAAATATTTTAAAAATACAGCGACAAATGCGAAAATTCAACACGTTGTTGCTTATATCTCCGATAATGCTAATAACCCCAGAGGCATCTCAAGGGAGGATTGTAGGTCATACACGTGTGGTACTGTGGGACCCCTATATGGTACAATTTGTCATGGCGTAATATCCATCGGCCAAAAGGCGAAAACAGTTTGGAGACAGGAAGCAACAAATGCTAGCAATTTCACAGCGGGAGCTCTCCGGGAGCAAAATGCATAGCAACCGACCACTGTGTCTAAATGGGGTTGATTAATACATATCACCCCTCAAATTATTATGAACAAGAAACTATCCAATTTTCTTAAATGTTTCTGACAACACAACTATAAATCGACTTAATCACACGACTTCTAACAATAAATATTACCCAATCACATCTTTGCAGTTTGAAAAGTAAAAACACACATTCGCTTTGATGACTTAGCTTTATCCACATTATCATCTTTGCTGTCGTCAGTCTCCTGTTGTTTGCAAAGCATCCTTTTCAGTTTTAAGCTTGGCTTTACATCTTCTTCATCAGTCTTGCTAGTCCCTGTAATTATGTCTGACACCATTTCTCTCGACTTTTCACTTGGATGTTGGTAGGAGTGTATAGAGACGCCAGACATCTGTGACCAGTTCTTTCCATACAATTTTTTACTAGAATACGCTATGTCTCATCTTTGTTACACACTGTATAGTCAATATATACGATATTGATAACATTGTTTGCGATGTTACTCTGAGTGTGTATCCATACCGGGCAAGCTTGAAAAATATGCCTGGCCACAGTGGGAATCGAACCTATGACTTTTTGAATACCAGCCCAATACTCTGCCAACTGAGCTAGACGGTCAGGTCCTTTCGAGTATGTGATATTTCAGAACTAAGTCTTAGTTCCATCGATATCAATGTAATCTAATAATCATGATTTGCTGTGTTGGTGTTGTGTACTCAGGTGAATATGATGTTTGTGATGTTACTCTGAGTGTGTATCCAAACCGGGCAAGCTTGAAAAATATATTTTTCAAGCTTGCTCATTTTACAAAGATTGTTGACAAGAATGGCAGCATATTTTACAAAGATTGTTGACAGAAAGGCATTAAATTACATGGCGACGGCATAGCGCATAAGTGAGAGGTCAAAATAAACTGGAAAATGACGCTTACCTTTCAAGATACCGTTCCAATGAGTGGATTTACTGTTGTAAAAGTAGTATGGCATGAAATTTCCCCCCCCCCCCAAATTTGCATAACAATATGAAAAAAATCGGTATTTATGAGCCTTATGTAAATTTTCAATGCCAAAAGCTTCATGCTAGCATGAGGAAAATGGCACAGTCTGATTGGTTGAGGCATTCGTCCAGATTTGCCTAATAGGCTGTCCAACCTCCTCTGATTCATCCCCAGTGTTCCCCAGAAAAAAATTGTGTTTCCATCCATTCTGTTAAATTTTCTCCACTTTCCATTCCCTGTTCCAAATAATGTTGTAACTTGTAACCAATAAATTATTACAAATTGTAAACCATTAAAACCCAATAACTTATTGGGTTGTAATTGTTTGTTTTTTAAAAAAATTGAACCACAAGTATGGGTGAGGAGATTTTTAGTTGCATATTTGGTAAAATTTCTTCTGACTTAGTAAAATTTAAGCACAATGTTTGGTAATAACTGCTGAAAATATGTGGACACTCTTAAGTTATGATAATTTAAACAAGAACTTTTCTCAGGAAGTATATTTGTTCTTGTTTTAAGTAAATTAATATTTTTATTGAGAAAAAATACTCAATTTCTTATTTCAAGTAATCGTTTTAATACCAAGTACTTTTCGTGATAAGTAAATTTGTTCTTGTTTTGAGATTATGGATATTCTTATTAAGAAAAAAATTACTCGATTTCTTATTTCAAGTAACCATTTAAAACACCTATATCATTTGTGGGATCTTTATGGATTTGAGAAGAGCATGAGAAGTTATTTAACAAGTTCTTTTTTGATTTAGTTCAATAGTCTCTGAGATAGAGGCCCTCAAACATGGCAATTTTGACCTTTTTTGGGAAAAAAATCTGTCGTACTTAATTTTGCTTGGGGGTCTGGCACTCAGGTACGCAAGCATAAACAAACACTATAGATTATGAATTGCTGTGTTGGTGTTGTGTACTACATTATTATTACATTGATGGAACTAGATTCAGTTCTGGAATATCACATACCCGAACCGACCTGACCGTGTAGCTCAGTTGGGAGAGCATTGGGTTAGTATTTCAAAGGTTGTAGGTTTGATTCCCGCCATGGCCAGGCATATTTTTCAAAGCTTGCCCGGTGTGGATACACACTCGGAGTAACATCACAAACATCACAATAGATTATACTAGAAATACATGCATGCAGCAACCCCTCGCCTATATTCTCCAAGCATTGTTTTAACATGAAGTATTCGTAAATATGCCAACATTGACCGCAGGCTTGCATTGCCACGTCATGTTAGTCATGGCAACACGATAATTTTTAAAAATTTTTTTTGTACAAACCTGAAAAAAGTAGATGACACTTTTAAATACAGAACTATCAATTTCTAAAATATATAAAGTAGGTATATTATTTTGGTTTCTATGGGCTTTATTTTAATGCAAAATTCGAAACGAAACTACATATTAAAAACGTTTTTAAATGTGAGTTGAATTTCAACGGCTTTTTGCCGATATTAATCTCTTCAACTTTATATTACTTGCACTTTGAAATGAAATAAATTTAATTCGTACAGGATGCTAATGAAAATAATTTGCTTTCCTTTTTATCATGAACTTCTACAAAAGTTAATTTAACTAAGAAACTTTCGCATACAATGTATAGGAAAGACTTGAACAACAAGCGCAAAATCTATATTAATAACACAAAGTCATGCATACATAAACAATTGAAACAAACTTGCTAGGTACTTTAAAATTTATCATACTAAATCAATTCTTACCTGCAAAAATTGAAGAAAAGTTTTACAATTTGTTATGTGAAACGATTTTCCAAGCTTTCTTACATATATTTTTTTAATTTTCCTGTTCTTCACTCCTGGCAAACAGCCATATTTTGAGATCAGTGAGATGACTACCCATACACCCATGAACCGCACCCGCGATATTTGAACTTTAGACTTCGCGAGTGCGGTCCTTTTCCCGGGAGTAAATAGTCAGGGGGAATTAGTACCGGCGTTTCGCGCTGTCAGCTCGGGGATTACAATTTGCTGCTGTACCTTACTAAAATTATAATTTTTGCAAGAAAAGTTGGTTTATTTAGCTCAAAAGCGTCTTCCAGTACTGACAAAAGTTCATATAAGATTGCGTTAAATATAAAATCATGGTGAAACGTACAAAACGACTTCAAAATCAAATTTTAAAGCGAGGCTTCCTAAATGTAGTCAAGCATTGGTGCATTGCTGAGCATGAAAGAGTTGGCATACACTGAAGAATACGTTTGAAAGCTAGAAGAATATAACAGGCATGTAAAGGAATTATTCATAGGTGGAACAGGCATAATTGTGTTAGGGACCGGTCATAAAGTAACTGCTAGGGTGGGCTGGAGTGATTTGGGATGGGCCATGGAAAATCTTTTGGGCAGTTTTGATGGGCCGCCAATTTTTTGGTATGTCCACGGTTGGGCCACCAAACAAAAACCCATGTTAATTATATATTATATAAAGATATTAATAATAAAAGTAAACAAAACTATCCAAATTATCAAATGCAAATGATGCTATCGAAGCCAGTATTTTGTTTAATACAACAAGAAGTGGTTGAATCACAGCAAATACAACCAACTGGAGAGCAGCTCAGTATAGTAATTGGTGATGAATGTGTTGGTCAAGCTTGGTGGAATTATGTATGTCAATACAGTGCCGGTGTATATTTACAATGTTCATACCTGCAAGTTTTTTGATCTGATTGAATCTTTAATGTAGATCCTCTGATTGAATCTTTAATGTATTATTGAATAACTATGCAAGATGTTTGGTGCTTCTTAAACTGTGCATTCCACCATCACTTAGTATACTCTATGGATACCAATCCTGGATGGGGTCAACTTTTCCATTTGCTCCAACCATATTTTCCAACTATCTGTTCCAACCGACGAAGCCGGATTGCACCAGTGAAGGACCTTGAACTGTAAAAGAAACATGTCCCAGGCACCAACTCGAAAATCATCATAAAAAAAGATAAATTGGGAGGAAATATAAAATCCATAATTTCATTACAACTATCTATAATTGAAAGAAATTTTTTCATCATTTACTGGAATTGCTAGTCTTTGCAACCAATAATATTATTGGCCTTATGGATCGGTTGAATAAACATGGTCAGCATGGTCCTTTTATAACCCATAGTCTAATAAACGTAAATGAAATACACATGGGGGTTATACCTAAGGACTATATTCATTCTATACATCGTGGTGCAAACATACATGTACAGGTATATACTGTACGTATTATTATGTTGTTGACCCACACCTTACATCTTACACTAAACCTTTCAAAAAAGTCGGACATTAGCAGTGAAATTAATGTATTTCAAAGTTTTCAAAATGATGTACAAATTCCCAAACGTAACATTGGTACACGTTGAAGATTCATAGATATTTAGTTCATAAGATATGCTATGATGGGCCATTGTTATCATTATAAATTCAGTAGATAATTTTAAAATAAAATTATATTTCACGAACAAAATTAAAAAGAAAAAAGAAAATAAATAAATTTTTAAAAAATTTTTGAAATAAAACAGATATAAAAATATATGTTAAAAAAATAAAAAAAGAAAATAAAAAAACAAAAACAAACATGCGATTTTTGTTTTCAATTCTAAAATCAAATGCTCTCAATGTGGCCCTTTGTTATCATAGACCATATATTTTAGTACGGGGAGAATATGCCCGTTCGCGGGTTAGGCGAGCAACTGGGAATGAGCCAGCTGAAGATTCAAATATCAACATGGCGGCAGGGGAAAGATTTCAAAATGTAGATTGAGAAGATGATGAAGAATTGAGAAATGATATAAAGAATAAAGAAATATGTAATGCAGAACTTGAAAAGGGCAGAGGTTTTGGATTTTCTAAAGCATGACTATCCACAATATGCCTGGAGCCTTCCTACGCTAAGTAGAAGAATGTGTGCATTTGATATAAGTATTTCAACTATGATACAAGTCTTGAACATGTGCAAAATGCTATTAAAACTGAAATAGATGGTCCAGGAAAGCTTTTAGGGTATCGTATGATGCAGCGTAAGATTCGGGAGCAGCATGGTGTGGCAGTGCCTCATTCACTTGTTTATGATGTTATGACAGATGTGAACCCAGAAGGTTTAGAAGCTAGAGGAAATGTTGGAGGAGGAAAAAGCAAAAGGGGTCCAACTGGAACATTTACATCATTGGTAATGGTTATAAATGTTTTCTTTTACCTAAAGCATTGTAGTATCTGTGAACTTGCCACTTTATGCTACTACCGTTTTTTTAATATTGCTAAGGTGTCATGTATATATTCAACTATTCAAGTTGCCAGGCAAACGTTTTCAAGGCTGGATTGGTGGCTTCAGATAAAAATGTAAATTTCATGTTTTGTGTGACAACTTGAATGTGGACGTGGCCCTTTTTTATTGTAATGTGTGATCAAATACTTGAAAATTGGCACAAAGTATTTGTAGACTATTAACATTTCTCATAATGTTTTGCTCGCTACTCTGGTTTAAATAAATGATTACAAAGCCCAGTCGAATTGTAATCAAGACCCAATGTTTCGACACTGCAGTCTAGTGTCTTCATCAGGGGTGATCTAAAATTGCAACCGTGGCTTCTTAAATACCCAAGGGATGACGTCACCTGCCAATGAGATGCATATATTCCTCTGGCAAATAGGCACCATCATCCCTATTCAAAGCATGATTACTCATATTTATATACCACACTTCTAGGCAAAGTCTTTGACCGTAGCAATTGTTTGTGGTAATTACTTTAGAGTTTTCCCACGCAATCTCGTGTTTGGTGTAACATACATGTTCGGCTAAAGCTGATTTTCCCTTGTCTAAAGTTGAAACAGCCTTTTGATGTTCTTTTAGCTGTATACCAAACTGGCCTTTAGACTGACCCAAATACTCTTTCTTGCAGTCACCGCAGGGTATAGAATATACAGTATGAATTTTCTGATTTGTTTTAACAGGATCTTCTGGCTTTGAAAATATAGCCTAAAATCAAATAGGGTTTTGTTTGCCATCAAACAGTCATTCTCAAGCTAATGAACGTGAATATGTTCTAAATATTTTAGGGGAAAACGATTACCCAAAACGTTTTCTTAATGATTGCCTGAGATCACCTGTTTGTAGGAACCAAAATAACTCGAAGGGTGATACCTCTGTTAAGGGTTATGCAATAGTTCCATACATTCAAGGTGTCACAGAACCAATCAAGAGAACCTTAAGTAATTGTAATATTATGGTTGCCTTAAACCCTATTTGACTTTAGGCCATATTTTCGCAAAGACAAAAGATCGTGTTAAAACAAATTGGAAAACTCATGCTGTATAGTCTATACCACACGGTGATTGCGAGAAAGAGTATTCGGGTCAGTCTAAACGCCAGTTTGGTACACAGCTAAAAGAACATCGAAAGGCTGTTTCAACTTTAGACAAGGGGAAATCAGCTTTAGCCGAACATGTATGTTACATCAAACACACGATTGCGTGGGAAAACTCTAAAGTAATCAAAGAAAACTCCACCAGTAGCAGCATATTTGCCAAAAACTTTCCCCCATGCACTGTCTATCTGGCACCCGATCTGGGAGGAGTCCATAGGGCGGTTGCTCCACGTCAAAAAGACTGATTCATCATTCTCGGATGTATTATCAGCCAAAGCGTAACAGAACTTATTGATGAAGATCTTCATCCAGTTGTGAAGCATGGTTGATAAAACGATGTTGGCTGGACCGTGCGTTGTAAACGTTTTATGCTTCTTCACTTTCACCACGAAGCTGCCGTCCAATGCCTGTGCACTTCTGAATTCGCCAATTGTCATGTTGGCTAATGCTCCTGACCTGCTACCATTGTTTATGCAGATAGATGTCAGCAAATAATCCCTTACTGACATGTACTCGGTTTGGCTGGCCATAGTCTCATCAGGCTTTTCCTCATACTCCCCAAGTATCTTTACTGCTGCTCTGCCAACAGTCGAGGAGTTCAATTTTTGTATCTGCTCAGGTGTGCGTAGTTTCTCCAAATCGTCCATACGTTTTTCCCAAAAGCGAGCTTTCACCAGCCTGTGGTAAGTAAGATTTGCACCACTGCGTCATTTGCACCATTAATGCACTCAGTACTTTTGGTGGGGCATCCACACTCTTGGGAGACTTGCATTGCAGAAATGAATAAAACTGCCGCAAAGCACCAAGGTACAATTTCACTGTGCCAGGACGTTTCTCCTTCTCAAACTTGTTCTCCTTCTCAAAGATGTTCTGGATAGACAAACACTCAGGGACCAATGTCCCTGTCTATCCAGAACATCTTTCAGGGTCGGTTCCTCCGCACAAATGTATTGTGTTACCAATTTAATTTGCCGACAGCACTGTTGGGCATTCCCCTCATCTTTTCTACCCCCATCAGCAGTTGGAAGCCACTTTTCAAATTGTTCAAATATATGTTGCTCATCCCGTAATGTATTTAGTGGTAAACTCAATTGGATACTCTCTACCTACTATCATTGGTGTAACTGCCATCACTCGAGGATTGGTCAATACTTTCTTGTTCTTCACTGGACCACTCTTCTGACATTACTTCGTCTCTCTCAGGCACCACCTTTCTTCCTGGCAATACCTTTTTTCCTGTCGCTTCCTTTCTTTGTGGCAACTCCTCTCTTCCAGGCAATTCCTTTCTTCCTGGAGATTCTGATGATTCTCCTCTTGGTGGTGATTCAGGTGGTGTGTGCTCCGGGACCCAGGCCTCCGATTTCATTGTTTATATCGCGCGGTCAAGGGAATTGTGAAATACATGCCGAAAAACGACCCTGGTGGAAACATCAAATTTTCAATGTTTAACTAACTTTATTAGCGGCTAAATTCGGCTGATGTTTACCTCGAACACTCGTACTAACCTTGTTATAAGTATTTCGTCAACAAACAACGACAACAAGACTTAATTCGCAAAAATTCACACATGCTACGGTGTGGAATATGGTGGAAGGCATCGCTCGGAGGTAATTTTGTTGTGCTCTTTTTTATGTGTAGTAATACTAAATGGCTTGTCATGTTTGTCTGTTTTACAGACGATAAGTTTATTTATATAAATATTTAAAGGCACTCCATTGCACTCCACTAATTCTATTTGAAAAACTGATCTGAATATGTGTTATTTTTCAGAAATTGCACAATTAGTTGATATAATTTGTCATATTGATTCATTATAGAATGTTCAGTGTGTCCCAAATATGAAACAATTATAGATCATTTTAAAAGCGTGTTAGCCTGCGAATTGCCTTTTCACATTTTGATGTATTTAATCAATAATACATAGTACTTCATGTTTTGGGTTTTAGGTGGCCCTCACAGTGGAATAATTAACTGAATGTATAAACACTGGTGCCAGTATGGAGGATAAAACTGACTCTATTGTTAAGAGGGCTCATATAGCAAAAGGAGACACTCCAGGGAAATCAAACCATAAATACAGTCGAGTTACTGAAGAAGAATCTGGGAATAAACCTCTGCCTCGGAGAAGGTCTTTATTCAAGAATGAAGATGTATTGCCAACAGAGACACTGGTAGCTCATTCTATTCTGTCAAAGCAGCAAATTGGAAAAATGAAGAATTGGAAGCAATTGTACAATATATTGCTTTATACAAACCAAGTTTTGAAGATGACCATTGGCCAGCAATAAGAGATGGTGCATTCTGGGAACAACGTGCAAAAGCTGTACATCAGTACTCTGGGCAACCATTGCGGACAGGTACCTTGTATATTGTTTATAGAGTACATTGTAACCTTGTTAATATGGTCACCAACAGCCTATAAAAAATTTGGCTGCATTAACATGGTGACCATATTAACAATGTAAATTTAATGGGAGAAGTATATGCTAAAGTTGCAAATTGTGTAAGAAAACTCAAACTAAAGACTGCAAATAATTAGATTTTAATCTTGTGCATTTGCGAGTAATTAATTGAACGAATACACTGATATTCTTTTTGTAAAATCTTTAAGATGTCACCATAACAAAATCCATCATATATCAATTAAACTAGATACACAACTGAGAGATATATTCAATAAACTAATATCCTGCTTACAAACAAATCGATGAACAAAAAATCTACAAACACAATCTCCAGTATTAAATCTCATTGTGAAGGTGGACATGTATACTACGTCAAGAGATATTTTTGGCCATAATTTTCTAAATATCAATTTATTAATATCTTTTAAGGGGCAGCTATCCGAACAAAAACACTAAAGTACTTGGCAAAATAATTTTCAACTGTAACTGATGCAGAGAACTTTTATGACATTGATTATTTTCATTGCAATTCACTTTTAACAGAATGTTCAACCCAAAATGATGGTTGGGAAAATGTAAATAAGTCACAAGGAGATATCATGCAAGAACTTATCTCAGCCTTCAAATGCAAACTCACAAAGAGAATGCAAGAGCAGATGATAAATCAGCTTCTACAGATATGGATTACTCAGCACTATGGAACTGAATTTTACTATTACATGAGCAAAGATTTCTTACCTTTGGCTGTTAAAGGGATGAATTTGTTGAAAGAAAATAATAAGAAAAACTTGTTTCTTGCTATGAGTAAATGCTTTGGTGAGGAAATTAATGGCAAATCCAGGATGAGTGTTAAGCAAATGCCATTTGGGCTTATATCATATAATCTACAGTTTTTCGCTTCTGATCATACAGCAAATATTAAGATGGAGAATGATTACTTGGAGTGGCAAACCACCATGTATGCTCAGTTTGGCCACAAGTGGGCTTGCCTGCACCGAGGTCCAGCATGGCAGTACGATCAAGATGATAGTGGCAGTGACTGTGAGCCAGCAACCGATGGTAATGATAATGTACCTGCTGACAATTTGAATACATCATACGAGACAGGTTTTATATCAGAATATCAAAGTTCTGGGAATGCCGACTTGATTCAACTAGCTCTGGAAGATTGCGAAATAGACCTTCAAGCGGAAGAAAGCGAAGCTGATACGGTTTGTGATCCTGACATTTGTGCACTAACAGAGGGCCTTAGTAACGTAGCACTAACAACAGATGTTACCCAAACTGATATGTCATTGTTGTGGAGTAGCAATGTTGCTGAACGAAATGAGGAGCTGGCATATGCAGTAGACAAGCCTGAAGAAGTGGAGAAGTATTTTAAAATTCGACCAACACGACATAGAAGAAAATTAAACAAGCACATTTATTGCCCCTACAAGGTAATAATGATAGCTTTCCAATTATGTATAAGCACATAACTTGTACCCAGTTTCAACACGAAAAAGGTGGAAATTGGGAAAACGAGAAATTGTGAGAAAACACTACGCCTGAAGGGATGGGTGTTTTCACACAATTTTGAGTTTTCCCTTAATCCATGAGTGTTGATATAACTATATATCAATATGGAAAGAAATGTTTTATATTTGTTTTATAATATTGCATAAAGAAATATAAAGAAATTTTCCAAAGTTTCTGTGTTGACATTGAGTTATATCAACATGGCTCTTGGCCAATCAGCGTTCAGAATTTACAAATGCTATATTATAATTTGTTGCAAAGATAGTTGTGAGTTAGGTTTAGTGGATCAAGGGCTGGTTGTTCAGAAGGTGAATAACGCCATCCACTGAATAGTGATTTTTTGAAACCTTCATAAAACTTCCCACTGATCATTATAACAGACAAGTAGGTTTGATATTACTGTCAACTTTGTTTTGGTGGGAAAACAAAATATCTCTGTTTGTTGCCTAGTTTTATAAAGGTTTAAAAAAAACACTATCCAGTGGATTGCACTATCCAACATTTGAACAACTGACCCTATATGAAAATATAATCTGGCTGTTAAAAAGATTGTGACCATATCTTTATGACAGTGACAACCATAATGGAAATGTGAGTAAAATGATTATGATTAATTTATTAATAGGCTAAGATCAACATTGCTGGAGCTGGTGTCAGACATCTGAAGAGAATGATTCAGAATAAAGGATTCTCAAGAAGCACTATCATTCAAAAAAAGCTTTTGAAAGACGCCCATGAGAGGAGTCCCAAAGGCCGTTGGTGGATCAAGGCTGATGCATGTGATTTGAGGAAAGGATTATGCGAGTCGTTGCGTGGTGAATGGTCTGGAGATAAAGATATAGGAGACGGTGAAGTAAAAAAGATACATGATGAATATAGGACCAAGGAAAAGAGGGTCAAGAATTTGCAAGTTGGAAGTGACAACTTCCTCAAAACTCTGCTTGATGTCAAGAAGGACCTTGAATGCGATGTTTTATTCCTACAAAAGGGCTTAAAGAATGCAACTGAGATCTACAACAAGAAGGTTGATAGGGGAAACGTTTCTCAGGACAATCTTGTGGCCCTTGCTTGGGATGTCACTGGTTACACAGAGCTGGTAAAGATGAATGGCGAGTTGATTTCAAAGATCTGCTTGGTGCAAGAAGACCAAAACCTTACAACTGTCGGCAGTTGGAATAATTTGCGTGACAAGCTATGCAACTACCTGAAGCAGCTGTACTTCCGAAAGCGTGAACCTGCTAGTCACTTAATGGTGTTTATGATAGCCGATGAACACAGGAAATTTAAACCATATGCCATTCCAGTTCGGGTCTTACCAGTTACCACGGTTACGGATAACGATATGCGACATTTGAGAGATCAATTGGTCGATGCAATGGAAGAATTGGGGATGATAGTTGTTGGTAAGTTTATATATATATATATATATATATATAATCTGCATCTGCGATCATTGGTTGCATGCTGGCTCGTTCCGCATTTATTGTTGTTCATTTTGATCATAGGGTTTGTTACTGATGGGGAATGGAACTCGTGGGGGACACAGGGCTGTGTCCATTATCCAGGTAGCCATGGATGCAAGGAAACTTGCACAATCAACCAAAGTTGTTGATCTTGACAAGTTTTTCAAACCAACAGAGTCAAACGGTGTGTTCTTTTTTTATTTCATTAATCCATGTGTAATAGCAGACTTTGGTTATTACTGTACACAGTATCACATACTCAGTGAGGTTAAGCTTGAAAGAACTATCATGGTAGATATTAAATAATTAACCCATTGAGTTGCATTGCGCCCTACTTTATTATTTCACTCTGTCTAACGCCAGACGATTTTACTCGTCAAGGGGAGAGCGCTGACACTTAATGGGTCAACTGGCCTATCTGCCCATGTGTCTATTTAACCCATTGAGTTGCATTGTGCCACAATGCACCCTACTTTATTATTTCACTCTGTCTAACGCCAGACGATTTTACTTGTCAAGAGGAGAGTGCTGGTGCTTAATGGGTGATATTAATTAAAATAATGAAATTTAATAAATTTGCCAAGTTTGGTTGCAAAATGTTGTAAAATGAGTAGATTAAAACCGTATGTTATTCGCAAGCTTTGATTAAATTTGTATTACACGAGGGAAATTAATACTGTAACCATATTTGAGCCGAAAATGGTTATACATTATTACCTGCGCGTAATAATAATTTTAAGATGCTCTTTCCATTTTATTGAAAAGATGTTTTGTTCTTCGATTCTTACCTGTATTTTAATTTAGTCGATCTACAGCTGGAATGATCTATTTACTTGCAAAATTGTGATTTGTGAAGTGATCATCAGTATGATACAGTTTTATGAAAACTCATTATGATTTTATCAAACTAAAACTCATTGTGTTTGTTGTATTTTGTACGAAAACCAGAAATAACACATGATGCCATACCCCAATCACAT